GAGGTGTTTAACGATTTTGCGACATTATCTAAGCGTGATTATTGATGAAACAATATATGTTCAACTCTCACATTGACAATGTCATAAAAAAAAAATTGCAAAAAAGAATGGAATTCTTTTGTTTTTCCTTGATTTGTTTTCCATCGATCTTGTTTTTCGTGCTGAGCACCAATGCTACCGACGCCAGGAAGGCAGGTCCCACACCTGGACCCTATCTATCGACCCATCTACTCATGAACTGGGGACCAACGGCTTTACTTTCCTTCCGAAGGAAGACGTGATCAGAGATGTTATGCCTCAGTACATCCCGGCGGCGCCGACTGGGATTGAACCCAGGCCTGCTGGGGTGAGAGGTAATTACACTTACCACTACACAAGTATGCAATTCTATGTCGATTGAAAAACTATTTTACTATTGCCAGTCAAATACATCTTTACAAATCAATCATTGCTCCTCATTTGAAATTTTGCTATTCCATTTTATTTTGGGCCAATGAAACACAAATATCGAGATTTCAGCACCGACAAACCGACGTGTCATTCATTTTTCAATATTGGTGAAAACCTTGTGTCAGTCTCATTGCCCTGAAAGTAATCGCTTCTGTCATTTTTCGCGAGAAATGCACTTGACAAAGCGGAGGATGTGTTTGTCTTTTTTCATTCGCGTTATTTTCAAAGATCAACATTTCATGATTACCTGATATTTTTCAATGATGTAATTATTTACAGCTCGTTCATTAAAGAATATAACCCCGTCTCCATATAATATTATTTATTCCTCTCTATTAAGCTATTTATAACACTAGGATATGAGCCCAGTCACGCTATAACGAATCCCTTAAAGCCCTTTGGAAGCAGCCGTTTATTTTGTTAAGAATCCCTCGAACAATCTGAAGAACTGAACGATGTCAAACAGTGCAATGTAAGCTGGTTTGTTGATGATAGGTTGGATGGATGGACACGTGGAACTTCCGGTTCGGGACCCAGCTTTAAGCCCATGAAGTATGGAATGTCTTCGAAGAAGATGCCCCGACAGAAATGGCTACTGAAGCGGAAAAGAAAGCATTCAAGGCATTCAAAAAATGAAGGCGTTGTTGGTGGCGTTCATTGCGGACAGTCACCTGGAATACGTCCGGGACAAGGCTATGTGGTAGTGCGAAGAAAAGATTTCCCGCCCAGACTTACACTCCCGATCATAAGTTTAAGGTTACCTCCAACAACACATGCCAATGTGTTTTGTTCATAGCTCTGTCATTTTACGTCAAATTTTCGTTCTCCTTAGGTCATTTAAAAGGTATTGGATGAAGCTAACTTCGTACATAAATGGCTCAATTTATTTTTAAAATTTTGTATACTTAAAGGTACAACATTTATAAAAATTTACACTGAATATTCATGACTGATTTTCTCAGAATTGGGTCGGCCAAATTTTGAAATGAAAGTGGTGGTAGAACCCTTATTTAATACCCAACGGTCTCGAAATGAGAAAATTTGGTGGAATTTTTTTTAATATTTGAATCATGAAAACATGCATTCAAGTAATCTTTCAAAAATTTGTCGTCACCCCACAATCAAACCCCCCACCCCCCGGCGCTCAAATTTTTGAGGGTGACCACCAAAACATGGGGTGTAACAAACCTAAAAATGTTGTTTGATTTTCCGTTCACTTTTAGATATGTGGTAAGTCGCTTAACACATTTTTTTAATTTTTTAAATTTAAATTTCACCTTTACTTTCAACGGAACACCATACTGTGGGGTGCCCCAATTTTTTGATCGGTGACTTGAATATATATTCTTCTGAATTTAATATTTAAAAAAAAAATCACCTATTTTTCACAAAAGTGGTTCATTGGGGAATACGGGTTCTACTACTACTACTTTCATCTCAAAATTTGGCCAACCCAATTCTGAGAAAATCAATCATGATTATTCAGAGTGAATTCTGGAAAATGTTGTAACTTTGGGTGATCTTTCAGCATACAAAATTTGAAAACTATATTGAGCCATGTACCTACGAATCAAGTTGCATTCAATACCTTTCAATTGACCTGAACAGAACAAAAATTGGAAGTAAAATAACGGAGATATGAACATAACACAGTTGTAGGATTTTTTTTTGCGAACTCATACTTATGATCGGGATTGTGCGGCAAATCGATCCGATTGGACAGTACTGGCAGCTAGAACCGGGTACCAATAGAAAAGTAGCCGTGAAGGAAATTCGAAGTTTTATGGAAATTTCTACGGGCACAAGCGGTCAGCATGTCCAAGATCCCATGAGCCACAAGTGTGAGTACAAGCAGTAAGTCTCAATAGATCGAGAAGTCGCGTTGGTTGGATCAATGCCGACGGTAACTTCAAGCAAAAAGAAGAATGGTGAATGGTGCCAGCCGACACATGGCCAAAGAGGTAGACGTTTTTTGTGAGATGGAGACCCTCACGATCGAAAGTGCGATAAACGGCGGATATGTGGAAGGTGATAAGCAAGGAACTATCAAAGAGAACGTATCGACACGTACGTTTGGGCTTTAGCAAGGTTTTGATCGTGTTGAATTTGAAATTCAATCTACTTTGGTTGGAGCGTTGATGAATGCTGGAGCCAAGGTCAAATTTGAAGCAGATCCTGCCATCCTGATCAAAAAGTGAAAAGTTAGATAAGATATATGCGAGATAATTTATACTATTAGATTTTGGAAGCGAATGAAGCGGACACTGCTTTCGTGAATGGTGGTAGAATCAGCAAGCAGTTTGTGACTTGTGACGTAAAATGCAACGAGGCTGAGTTACCGTTTAAGCTGATGCCAGCGACACAAATGTGTGGGTGTTACTGTTTGTGCAACGTCATCTAAATAAACAACTACCCTACCCACTGTAGCTACAGAGCAATACAAATAAACAATACAGTAGTTTGTATGCCTCCGCCATGGCAGGACGGCCAGGGGTACTACGGTAGGGGAACTAAGGGCAAAAAATCACCCGGGGCAAGAGTGTCACCCTCAATATTTTTGAAAATGAAGACATTTTTAATGCTTACTCACCTTAAAAAAAAAAAAAATAAAAACAAAAAATAATTTTGTGTTGATGTGTTGAAAGTTTTCACATAGTAATTCCCATATAAACTTGAAATGGTTTGTGCTAAGTCAGTTTCTTACTAATGAAGTTCAAATTTTGAGAGGTTTGAGCATTGTGGAGCGAAATTTTCAAATTTTGCGCCAGTCTAATATACACACAGGGGGTAAATAAATTCGAGCCGGACAAGTATCGGAAACGGGGTTACATCCTTTTGATGTAAGGGCATTTAAATCGTATTCTTCATACTCATGGTACTTCTTGCCGGTATAATAAAACAATGAAAAATACTTGAAATTCATTTTTTTACATTTTTTTTTTAGTTATTATTCTTACATTCATATCACATTATATCATATACATCCGTCACATTATTCAAATTGTCTCACACAAATAACTAAAATATATCTAGATTTTCACATGCACATTGCAATGCCACCATATTGTGTAGCATTGTGAGTGAGTCACTAATTTATTTTCCTCATATGTGAGAATCACTTCGGGTTTACGTGAAACTTACATAGAATTTGTGTATGTGCAAATCACGTATACAGATCGAAAAAGTAGTGTAAATTTCTGTTCAATATGATGCACATAAATGGAGCGTCACATATTATATATGTTTACATTATAAATCATGTAAAGTTCTGAGATATTTCATGCAATGTAGCGAATATTGTATACAAAAGCCCATCTTTGTAAACAACATTGTTTACAAGTTGCTCGGTTGCGTGAAATGAAAGACAAGCTCACGTGAATGAATGTTTACAACATAATTAAAATTCAGAATTTTTATCTGTGTACCGACTTCGAATGGAATTGCCGTTGATGCATATGTGGTAACACGTAGACTCTACTTGTGTCACGTAAATTAGACAGAAAAGGAAAAAAGAGTGACTCTATGTGAATTTTCACGTAACTATAACGTGTAAATTATTTTGAGTGAATGACAGGCTACGTGCGCTGCCGGCATCTCCCCTGCTTGTGTTTAATACAATCTTTTTTTTACCTTTGAACGTTGAAGCTCCAAAACAGTTCCTTTTAGTATTATTTATACAGTATTTAATATGTATTCACCATTAAAAACATCCACTAATCTAATTTATTTGTTTTAATTTCGTATTTGGACGTTTTATTAAACCTACACAGTTAAAAAACTTAAAATGAAGTTTAAAAAAACTCAACGTTGGATTCGTTGAGTTAAGTGAATCAGAAAAGCGGCGATGGTTCAAATTTACCCATCTATTGAGTATTAATAGAAGATCTCAAATTTAAGTAAATTTCTGTTCATCATCGTTAAGCTCAAAACGAAATATTTGTCATTATTGATGCAATTAGTGCTTCCGTAGCTACATGTTTCTAAATTGTATCGCGTAAAGTATTTAACGAATAATATCCTGAAATATTAATCAATATATTTCGATTAACTAAAACACGCTGTGATTCAAAGTAAAAAAGAATTAAATTTTCAGTTAACAGTACTCAACCGTCATGTTTTTACCGATGGGTACTTTAAACTTATTTTTGAATGACAATCATAGCAACCTGCGCTGACGTCGATGCTGTAATTTGTTTGTGCTCCATCAAGTGCTCCATTAGTCCTCGCATTAGTCTTCGTTAGTGTTTAGTACATACCCGCATAAACATTAACCATAAGAAGTGCCTAACCACCAATTCAGGATATCATCCCAACTAAATGCGGTATGGTCACACCATCTATGATATCCTTTGTGTATGGTACCCGTTTATAAGGGTTGTGCAACGAAAACAGGTTGGTTTCTGGTACGTTGGGTATTTCTCACCTATTCCATTCGATTGATCGTTAGGTAATTTTTACTCAATGAATTCTTGGTCAGGATTACTCAAAATTGAGTTTTCTTCTTTACCTTTATTACCATATGTTAATTATTTTAAGCTCAATTTTGAAAGCAATACGTAATGTTTTTCTGTAGCTATGGTAAAAAAGTGGGAAACTCTACGCGAATATTTGTTTCATTATTCTAATTCTAAATTTGCGCGGGTATACTTTTCTATATTATTTCTGTAAGCTTAGAAGGAGTACCATTTGTTTCGTTAAACTTTTTCAAATTGTTTGGAACCAATTGCATCAACCTTTGATTTCATTTGGATTCGTAAGAGGAAAAATACGACCGCGCAAATTAAGAATTTAGTGCATACATTTTAAAGCCCAGAAAGAAAGCAGCAAAATTTTGCAACAAGTGACGCGGTTTATGCGGAAAATATGCAGTGTTTCGAGGTGACCATCGTTCTAATCGCAAGAATTTCGCAAGCAGGACGATAAATCAAATCGAGCGCTTCGATACCTGTAAGCCAAAGGATTCAACCCTCCATAAGTTTCTCAACTGCGGCCAATTGAAAATTGTTGCACACATCCGAGCACAAAAATCTACTCCAATTACTTTGTACTAAAAAACGTGGAAAGATTGATCTAAAAGGCAAAGGAGGGGCTAAACAGCATCCTAATGAACTTTTTTCTACCACTATGGCTAAGGTCCCAGGCTGGGACTCTCAGCTAGCTGTCTCAAAGTTACCAGGAACATCTATTTTGTTTTCTAGCAACACTAAGCGCTATTTAATCTAGCAACTGTAAGCACAAAATAATCGTTTGGATATATTTCACGTAGGGTTAGTGTACTAGTTTTGACATTAGTGGTCCAGTTTTAGCCCTAGGGCCTTAATCAAATTTGAAATAAATGTATACACTGAAGTCTTTTTTTACACGGTTTTTTTTTACGCGGTTTTTTTTACACGGTTTTTTTTACACGGTTTTCCACGATTTACACGGTACGTTTTTAACGATTTCTCGACAACGATACAACCTATCGACTTGATTCCAATCACATTATCCGTTTCAAGCTATTTGTAATCGAATGGCATACTTAAAAAAAAAATCACAATTTTTGGTGTAGATACAGAAATTTTTAAAATATGTCTATATGGACCATATCATGCTTCAATTACAAATGGCATCAAAATCCGATTTTTTAAAAACATTTAAGCATGCGAAAAATCAAAATCTCGTAGGATCCCCCGTGTAAAAAAAGACCTGAGTGTATACATAATATATGTACAATATGTATAAGATAAATACGTAGTTTTATGGCAAAACATATGCTCGAAAATAATGTAAAAGTGTTAAATTTAAGTTTGGGACAATCCGAGGACCACTAAGGCCTTAAACTGGTAGACGTTAATATCCATCAACAGAATATTTCGTGCTGAAATCATAACATTCATAAGTTGACTTACTAAAAACACAGTGTCTCTAAAAACGTGGTAATAGCCCTATAACTCCTACTTTATTTGGCCCTTACCGAATTTTAATATAACCTAAAACTTTACGTTCTAATAAAGTTAAACAAAAAACAACTGGACAATATTACTGGATAATAATACTCTTGATTGGCTTCTGATCAGCTTGAACATGGCAGTTAAAAATTATTTGATATTCTCCATGTAGAGCTAGTCGAAAAAAGAATGGCCGCATTACCATGACAATTTACAAATCGCCTTTTCGGTCACTCTGTAACTCTTTACTCCTGTGGTAAATTCCCATCAGCAAATGTCAGCCTGTGCGTGAAACATGGGGGACATTTCCTAACCCTTTCACTCCTATGAAAATCCCATTAGATCCCAAGCTTTGCGTGCCTCGCTGGTACCATGGTGGAGTGAAGAGCTAAGACAAAGTTCGCACAGATTGTCAGATGCTTATGGGATTTTACCATAGGAGTAAATAGTTGCAGATTCGTCGCCAACGTCAATGCTTACTGAGCATTAGACTGATGCAAAATTTGAAATTTTCGCTCCACAGTGCTTAAACGGTTCCAAATCGGGTCCTGGTTAGCCTCCTAAAATTTGAACTACTTTAGTAAGAAACTGACTTGGCACAAACCATTTCAAGTTTATATGGGAATTACTATGGGAAAACTTATGTTTTTGTTCATATCTATCTAACAATTCACCACATCACTATGCTTTTAAAAATCATAGCAGTGATTGTAGCAAATTTTCTCAGCTACAACTTTGGTGAAAATCACTGTTCAATCAAAAGTAAGGAACAAAAGTTATTAATGATTCAAGCCACTGATGTCTTATAATTATGCTCATTCAACTGTTCAGCAGGCAACATTGGTATTTCTGGTGCGAAGAATAGAACACAAATATCATGGCTACTATGTCACACTGCAGAATACAGTGTTGCCCACAGAACAGCTGCTTGATCATGCCATAAGATTATCAATCTCTTAAAGAATTAATAACATTTTGATTTGACATTTGACTGAAAAACAATGTTCCGCAAAGTTGTAGCTTAGAAAATTTCCCGTAAGAATAGTTATTGCAATTTTCAAAAAAGCAATATGGAAAATTGGTAGAAGATAATGAACAGAAAGTCTGGTTTTCCCATAGTAATTTCCATATAAACTTCGAATAGTTTGTGCCAAGTCAGTTTCTTTCCAAATGAGTTTAAATTTTGGGAGGCTTATCAGGACCTGATTTGAAACCGTTTGAGCACTGTGGAGCGAAAATTTCAAATTTTGCATCAGTCTACTGAGCATACAACCATATATCTGCTTCTATTTCATAAGAGCCTATGTCGCAAACTTAAACAATCACTTTTTTCGCGAATTTATCGAGAATGAAAAACCACTCAAGTAAACCACCACGATGATTATGTAGAGGGATAGTCCCCATATTCGATAGAATTGATGGCTTTTATGGATTGAATGTGAACTACGAGAAATTTACGAAAGAAGGCATTGTTTACGTTTTTGACATTGGTCCTTGGGAACGCTCTGTGTCGATATCATGAGAGTTTTATTTTGACAGATCGATGGCCAACTATACCAGTTATACCACTGGTATAGTTGGCCATCGCCGTTGGTTGGACCAACGGCTTTACTTCCCTTTCGAAGGAAGGCGTGATTAGAGATGTTATGCCTCAGAACATCCCGGGGGCACCGACTGGGATTCAAACCAGGCCTGCTGGGGTGAGAGGCAATCACGCTTACCACTACACCACCGGCGCAGCTTGACAGTTTATGATTGTATGCAATTTATCAGTAATTGCGTTCTCCAGGACAACTCTTAAGAATTAGCCCTTTTCTGGATATCCAGACTGATTTCGGATATCCAGAGGATCATTTTCTGGCCACCCAGTAGCAGAACCAATATGGTGATGGCATATTTTCTCTATGCTCATGATTGTATGTAATTTAGAATAAAAAAATAGATCTCTAGGTCTACTTTCAGGAAATAATCATTTTCCCGGTGAATCTGAATTTCCACAGAGCCTCATGGAGTTTCTCGGCAAATAAAAAGTTCTATCGGTTCGATGTCTGTTTAGTTCGAAAGTAGATAGTCGTACAGTTCAAATAGTGGATCAATCTTAACATTTGTCATGCCAACATAAATCGACACGCATTTTGCTCGGGGCTCTTCACAGCAAAAAATAAATTTTAATATTACATCCAAAAGGATGCACTTCAATCATGCCGAAAATATCATAAAATTTTTACGACCACAAAAATAAAAAAAAATGCACTAAAAGCAGCGTAATGTCAGTTCATGCACTGTATTAATGATAATTTTGTCCTTTTTGCCGAGTAATATTACGGTAATATTTTTGGATTGAAGTGCATCCACTTTGATGTGATATCAAAAAAAGTTGTTTACTTCTTATTATTCTTCTTCATCTGAAAGTATCTCTTTTGTGATTAATCCTCCTATAAATGACACGCATTTTTTTTCCACATATGTAAAGATGGAGTTTTCAGCAAATTTGTTGAAAAAATCATTACACGCAACAGTGTTGAACTCTCTATTCTCATTTATGATATATGGAATGTTTTTTGTGAACGACCCCGGTAAAACATTTTTTTCTATTATAACTATGTCTAGATATTTAGGATTTTTTTGAATTCTACAAAGTTGTTCGCTTAGATAAAATGCATAATTCTTTTAATCGAGGCTATTAACTCATAAATGAGAATAGATAGAGCAATTGTGTATGCAGCAATGTTGCTTGAAATGATTTTTCTGCAAGTTTTTTGCAGACACTATTAGTGTATCCTCAAAATTTGCATTTAATTTTTAGGAGGATTAATCACAAAAGGGATACTTCCTGATGAAAGAATTTGCTTCTTTGAAGCCACCAAACTTTTAAAATTTACTTTAAGAGGTAAAACAATTTCGATCACTGATATGGCCCTCAAGAAACAATGTGCGCTGGTTGGATTCAATTTGGACCGATTTAGTTGAAAAATTTCTATTTTTCGAACAGTACTCACCAGACCATGCCCTCAGTCGGGGTAAGAAATCGTTCCAGAATGCACATGCCGTCGCCATTGGACCCCGTCCGTACTTTTCGCCACGAAGATCATCTTCACCTTCCGCATTGAAAATGAAATAGATAGGATTGTCCTTGGTGTACACCGGCCAGTGCTCTCCTTCCAGGGCGGGATTGCTGTAAATTAATCCGATAAAATAAAGTGTCGATACATTCATGTTATTAATTAAAATCTTACCCTGATCGTGCAAATTCACTAACTGAGAGCACCATTCGTCTACTGAGATCTCGTTCCCTCTGCCGATATTGTAGCGATATGTTCATGGGTTGTCCGAAGATGTATTCCACTTCATCACCATGCAACACACCCATCCATTCACCCCACAGCGACGTACTTGTACGCTAAAGAACAGGAAAATGGGTTAGTTTTAATTGACTGGAAAAACAAGTCATATCATCCCACTTACATGAGTAAAGTAGTAATAGTACACAGAAGCACCTCGTTCGGCTAAGCCAAGGGCGAATTCATTAGTAGGACAGATGAAGAAATGATCTCCTACACTTCGGCCCACTTGTTGTTGGTTTTGATATCCATCATTTCCGCTTTCCCAGCCAGTGTACTGATGGAAATTAGAAAAAACGTAATCGTTAATTGTAAATCGGATGAGATTAATCCTACAGGCATACTGGGATTACGCTAATAAAGATACATTTAAAAGAGTCAGAGTTATCATGAAAGCTTATCGGTGTGTGTTAGTGCTTTGTAATCAATATAACCAGACTTGGTAAAAACACCGTTCGGTGCGGCTCCGTGGCATGTATGCACGGCACTGGGTTTCTTTGATAAAACACACGGTGTCGGTGCAGCATTTTGGCACACCACCGAACCAACACTATGAATTGAGTAATCAGCAAGTTGGTTGATGGTAAAGTTTTTCTGTCCGCTTTCAAATCACTAAAACGCAACCACAATTATAGTTACCGAATTGTTAGAACAGAGTAGCTGGATCGATTAATTTGTTTAAATTATTGAAATGCTTAATGTTTTAAGGTTTCTGAATTCTTGAGTTTGCTGCATGAATATTAACCCCTATCGCCAAGCCCGTCTTTTGACGGGGTAAATTTTAAGCGCTAGGGCAACACAAATCGCCTTTTTTTACAAATATTGTGCTAGAAAGATACATTATCAAGAATTTACATGAACATTTGGAGTATATCGGTTACATACGCATTATTTAAACCTATGTTAAAAACTTATGTTCTAGGATTTTCAGGAGGAAATAAAATGTTACATTGAATAATGTGCATGACTTCAAAAAGAAAATTCCTTCGTAATAACCTTTTAGCTGACAGATTTTCCTGAAATGTTGACCAGAATTTACTCGTAAGTATCAACTGACAAAGTCTAGATAGAACTTGTGCAATCGTTTGAGAGAAAATTGAAAAAATATTTAAATAATTTTTTTACATAAACTGATCTAGACAAGCTTATTTGATATAGATGAAAAAAAATCCATATATTTTCATATTGGTGGGAACTTTCGAAAGACTCTTTTAAGGTACATTTTCAAAGTTTTTATGTATGTTGCGATTATAAATAACTAAATAATTCCCAAGAGAATTTATGCAATACATGATAACTTGAACTGTTGCTTTTAATTTTAAACCTTGTTTTCCTTAACTGGTGCATTTTATCCCAGGAAAGGGAGCGTTTCAGTAATGTCAATTGAGCTTATCTCTCCAAGCATACAATGTAAAGTTGAAATTGATCAATCATACACAAAATGTAGCCTCTCTTCTCAAACAATCACTACACAAGCTTGCAGTATCAGATCATTTGAAGGCGTATTAACATTTGAAAAGGTTTGAACAGTGCCGGGATTCCTCATACGAAAAGTATTTCGTTTCACTAGGCGGAAAGCTTAACCTGCTCTCAGTGAATTCATACGTAACGCAAAATAATTTGATGGGTGGTAGCGGGTTTGATTTTAATTAAATAAAAATGATTCAAACTGCAAACTTTCTTGTACATGCATATACAGTCGAGTGGTTCTAAATATCGATTTTACTCCATCAATCTCAATTGATTGCAAATCAGATACTGCTCATTCTCCCAAAATTTGAGCTCACTTGGATACGAACTTATACTGCACTGGCCCTTTGAAGTTTATATAGAAAACAATGGGAAAGGTGAAAACTTTGTTCACCTAGTCCTAGCCTTTCGCTATAATGATTAACGTATGAGGTGCAACATGCAGTTTTGCCCTGAAAGCAGTCGATTGAACATATCAGAAAGTTATCGGCTTCTTGTTTTTTTTTCTTGATTTTTTTTTTCCGTCGATCTTGTTTTCCGTGCTGAGCACCAATGCTACCGATACCAGGAGAGGCAGTTCCTACACCTGGACCCTACTTATCGACCCATCTACTCATGAACCGGGATCAACGGCTTTTCTTCCCGAAGGAAGACGTGATCAGAGATGTACATCCCGGTGGTGAACCCAGGCCTGCTGGGGTGAGAGGCAATCACGCTTACCACTACACCACCGGCGCCGCTTGTTATCGGCCTCTTAATCAATTTATAACTGATGAAGTTTATTCAAAAAGTGGTCTTGAGCAAAGTTGTAGCTGTTAAAATTTCACATAAAAGCAGATAGCAATCTTTCACTATGGCGAAAGGCTAGGACATTGAGAACAAAAAGTTTTCTTTCCCATAGTAATTATCATATAAACTTCAAAGGACCAGTGCACCATTCAAATGAGCTCTATTTTTGGGAGAATTATCAGGACCTGAGGAAATTTTTTATCATTTTTTTTTTTTCTGCATTTTGCTCGTATATTACAACAAAATACAGGCAGCTTATGCAACGTATAAACTAGATTTCCACTAAAAATACAAGTTCATATTTTCTACAGGCCAACATCCAGGCTGGTGTCAATAGGTGAGATAAGGACTTTCTGAATGTTTCAGCTCTTTTTGACGCTACACGGGCTGGCGCTTTTGGTTGAAATTTTCATATACAAAATGCTCATGTACATTCAAATGTGTATATCTCAATAAAGTGGATTCATGACGCAATCTTCAGCAAAGTTGACTTGACTGGAAATCTGAATCAAATCGGGAATAAGGAAACTGTTTTTATGATCGATAGAGTCTAGGAGTGTCATTTTGTCATGCATTTTATTCGAATTCTCCATACAAAGTTCAAACTAAAAGCGCCAGCTCATCTTAGGACCATTAGAACTTTTAGTTTTGTGGGCCAGTGTATTGTAATACCATGATATCATTTCGCTGACGCTCAATTCACCGTTTTGTTTTTTTTTTTTTTTTTTATTTAAGAGGTTTTTAGCCTGAAGGCTGGTTTGCCTCTATTTGGTACTCAAGTGGTAATTTTGCCAAGGAGGACAGATCGCTTAAGGAAATTTTTTACAGAATCTCAATAATTATCCAAATAAAAAAAAAATCAATTAATTAACAACTAAGGCAAATTGGAAAATAAATAATTTAATGACAACATTCATGCACCGTATCAAAAATTAGTAAAAACTGTAGAATTTTTTAGACTACTGAGTGCTTAAGAATTGATTTTATTAAAAAGAAGGAATCATTCCTGAAAATTATGAAAATTTGATATATTGAAGAAAAAAAAGTTACAAGAATCGTAGAATTTTAAAGCACTAAAATCATAATGAATTTTAAAATCATCAACAACAATACAAAATAGCAAACAACTTAAAAAGATTAGTGTGTACATTTATAAAACCAAATGTTCTGAAAATCATTTGAGCTAATGGCCGTTTGGACTATTGGTCATCTGGAAGACCATCAACGTAATAATACAGCTAGGAACCAAACCCTATCCAAAGCCAGGGGCCCCGGATGATAATATATTTCATGAAATTAATTGAATAGTTTTGTATTTGTATCTAAAACTGAAGCTTTGAAAACTTGAAACAATAAATCATACAAAATGATAATATGAACAGAAAACTGCAAACTGTAAATTCCTATACTGTCAGATCAGATTACAGAAGAACATTGAGGCAGCTAGACAGGTAGCGTGGCCAAGCCGTGGGTATATTTTCTACAGCTCTATGGTCTTGGGAGCGGTAACTCGGTTTACAAAGCATCAATTTTTTAAAGATTTCTATTTAGTTTTTGCTTCCACCGCCTAGAATGCACTCTTTTTTTAACTTTTAAATGCTGTGTCCTAGGGAGAGGTTTTCTTGGCTAAAGTTGTGCGTTTCATAATATTGAGACATCTCGTTGGTTTAGTAAGCTAGAACTGGAAACCAGATAAAGTTAAGTAGTGCAAAGTAATTATTGAAACATGGACTAAACCCAAGTAGTATTGAAAGTTTTATAAAGGTTTTAAAGCATTATATAAGTCCAAATCAAGCACAGCAAAAAATAAATTTTAATATTACATCTAAGACCAATTCAATCATGTCGACAATATCATGTAATTTGTATGGCCACAAAAATAAATAAATACACTAAAAGCAGCTTAATGTCAGTTCATGCACTGTAATAATGATAATTTTGTCATTTTTGGCAAATAATATTACATCATATTTTCAACACGATTGAAGTGCATCCACTTTTGTGACAATAAAATTTATTTTTTGCTGTTAGGGCAACAGGGCTGTGCTGATACCAAAACTGCTATTAGGTTGGGAAATTGCTTTTCGCAAATGTGGAAATAATCTTCAGGATATATATATATTTTAATTATGACCACCAACTGCTCAAGGTAGATTAAAATGAGTGAGAAATAAATTGAGGGATGGTATTAACAAGACTTAATTGGTTACTGATCATGAGTATTGAGTACAAAATATTGATAAAATGTACATCATTCCTTTAACAAATTCGCATGTCGTATTTAATCAGATTTAATTAATTCAGTTTAAATGTGTGTTAAAATAAAAGCAGGTTAGAAAAAAAAAACAATAAACTAAAAGGGAATGTCGCAAGTACTAGAAATTGAAAAGTGATATTAAATCATAGGGGCCCAAATTTAAAAAAAAAATGACCAGGGTGGGGTGGTTAAAACGTGTGTATTTAATCAGATTTTCACAATTCCGGAAAATACTAAAAAGTTAGTTCTAGATTTTATCAAAGTTCTATCAAACGATAGGTGGTAACAAGGCTTTCCGCGAAATGACCTATTTCACAAAGTTTTTGCCAGTTTTGTTCTTATACTTTTAGCCGACCTTTATCGACACGTTCAGACCATTTCTTCGTAACCGAAAGGCTTGTGCCTGCCATTTGGTGCCGTACGATATACAATAATTCAATTTTCAAACGCAACACCCGTATGAATCCGCATAACGTCGTTCCAAAAGCTTCTCGGTTTCTCATCATGGAAAGGAGACATCTTTTTTAGCAGTCCTCAACATAACCCTGACATTTGTCTGGTGAAAGTTGGAAATTGTCTGCGACAGGTTCTATCTACAAGTCGTTCATCTATTTCCTCACCTGGAATATAATCGCTTCACGCTCCGGCTCGGACGCTTTGCTGAAGATGGTGTTCATTATTTCCAAGAACTTATCTCTCGGTAACGACGTTGCTGCATCCTTCTCGAAATAATCGATGAAATCGTACAACAGAAAGTATGTGCCTGTTTGGAAGAAAGTTGGATAGACACAACAGATAGAGAGAGAAAGAGATTAGTAGACGGAATACTCTGGGTAGAGAAAAAGAAAGGTAACGAATGTCACAATCAACTGCGAAAAATCTCATTTCACTAATATGCCGGTAAAAGAACCAAAGAAGCTTCCTCTGGTCCGTGAAACATCATTTTCAGATTCCAGGAAGCTCCGCTCAGCTGAAATATTTACCAGTTGGAAAAGGTGTTCATGCCCCTTATCTTTAATCATTTTTAATATTTAACAGTGGACTGATTTTTCTTCTTGCCATGTCAATCAAACTTATCTATTTCAGACATAAGTTGATACATTTGATAACCATATGCCTACTCCTAAGATTAACAAAAATCTAAATATAATAAAATAAAATAGTCAATATTTGTCAACGATGTTGTACTTTTTTTTCTTTTTTTCAGACAGGCCACATTTTATGAAAACATCCAAGTCGATTTATATATACAGCTCAATAAGTTTATTCTATAAATTCTTCTCCGAAGAAACTACTCTTCTACAATAACATTTACACACCACAAATAAATAGCGAACGTTTTTGTTAGGTTTCACCACAGTGGGGTGCAGGTCAGTCATAATTTAATTTATTTTATATAATTTGTTTTCATGTTAGGTTTGCTGCAAATTCAGAAAGCATTTACCCTATGGAATCGATTCCAAAGTTTAAATTACTATCGATGAAATAGTAAACTGAAAGAAGATTTTAAAGATGAGTATTTTTTAATTTGATAACTCAGAACCAGCACCGTACTCAGCGGATGACAACCAAAAAAATTCTGAAGGGCGAAAAAGTGTTTGGATGTTACAGAGAGAATTTATGTTTAATAAACAGGTTGCGTATATCTGCAAGACAAAAATATATATTCTGGGAGCTATGATCTGTTTCTGTTCGATTGGAAGGTTGTAATAAAAGCTCTTCGCAGATATTGCCACTGCATGATGATGATAATATTGACAGGCTGTGCAAAGGCCTCAAATTCCAACATCAATCCGAGTAGGAAATTAACCAGTAAAAGACAACAGCAGCAATGACAAAGTCGAACATTTCAGGATCAGTTCTTTATATAAAAAAAGTGTCTGCCGTGTCTTCAGCAATTCGGCTATTCAGTGCGTCGCGAAAGCTCAAAGTAAACAAAACATCGTAAGGGAGAACAGCCCATAATGCACCCCTGGGGTAAAATGCCCACTTATAGAAAAACAGTGATAAATTTTCCTCAGATGCATTTTCCGGGTAACGGATTGTGTTTGTTTTCAACTGTAGGTTTCACAAATAATTCTTGGTTATAAAATCATATATTGACTTACCGATTCCTTTAACAAATAGCATTTTGTGCAAAACATGACACAGTTCAGGCATAACATTTGATAACGGCACAAAAGCATTTGTAAACAAACTTTCTAAGGCCCTTTACACGCGAACCAAAGTACGTCAACGCAAACCAACAACATTATCGGCTAGGGGCAACTATCACCTTTCCGAAAGTGGTATTGGTTTGCGTGGGCGTACTTTGGTTCGCGTGTAAAGGGCCTTAGAAAGTTTGTTTACAAATGCTTTTGTGCCGTTTTCAAATGTTATGCCTGAGTTGTTAAAATCATCGACTGCAAATTAAGCTTTTTAACAGCATATATCGCGAAAAAATTGAAAGATTTCACTTTACGTATATTTTTAGAAGTTTTATTTCATGAATCACTGTTTAACACGGGACCATATTTCTGATGTAACATAAAGGAATAATCGTTTGGAATACCTCATCCCTTTGAATTATCTAGGTACTTGCAGGGGCTATGGTTTGTCTGTCATACGGTGCATTTTACCCCAATGTTGTGGTGCGTTTTGGCCATTGTTGTCGTGCGTCTTGCCCGGATGTTGTGGTGCATATTGTACCTTGTACCATGAATCGGGCGTTTTGCCCCGCTATCATTTTGGAACCAATTGATAAAATACCTTGCAAATCATGAAAAATCATCGTTTTGTAGTTCTAAATCACTCGATCTTCGTAGAAAACATGGTAATGAACCATACAGCATTACTTTCTTCATGATTTTACCTTCCATACGCCAGCAATTGACGATTTTGCTTAAACGGTGCGTTTTGCACCATCATGACATGACCGTTCCTACCGCGGGGAGCATCCATTTATTTTACCATTTATTTTACACTAGCTGAGTGCCCGGCCTTGCTCGGGATTCAATATAAGCTTGAGTGTATGCGCCGAATAAAAAAACATGCTATATTGTACGTAGCCCCCCCCTCTTATCTAAGGGGCTACCCCTATGAACATCTCCTTATACCTCCACATGCCAAATTTGGTTCCATTTGCTTGATTAGTTATCGAGTTATGCAGAAATTTCTGTTTCATTTGTAGGGGAGCCCCCCCTTACAGAGGGGGAGGGGTATAGAACCATCATAAGAACCTTTCCCGGCCCCAAAAACCCCTGCAGACCAATTTTCACGCCGATCGGTTCAGACAGACAGACAGACAGAAATTCATTTTTATATTTAGAAGAAGAAGATATGCATCGTGACCGTGAGTATGGCAATGCAGAATGCTTAGCAATGTACAATGTAAATTCCGAACTTGGATGAAAGAGTGGAGGGGGTTATTAAAACCCGATGTAATAAGTAGACACCGCCTTTCTGTAAGAGAGGTCTATATGGTATCTTCATCTATCTATCTCATTTTGTACATACTGAAGAATAACTATTTTTTTTTATTATAGTCACTTTAATGCTCTTGGGTCATTCGTGACTTGTCCGGGGGTGAGATTTGAACTCGTGACTTTGGCGTGAGAGGTATGAATGCTAACCACTACGCCGGGGTCGCCCCCAAGAATAACTATTGTATAGAGTTTAAGTAACAAATTCATAAAATTCATGAAAAGGAGCATTAAGCAATAATTTTCATCAAACTGGCAAAACATCCTTTCAATTCAACCATGGAATTGTGGAGTAAAACGAGTAAAACTTTATTCCGACCATCTGTGCATCGGTGACTTTTCCAGATGGATTCTCAGTCGAAATATTCATTTCATTCCACGACACCGTCAATGCTACATCGCAAATAATAATTTAGCAACCATCATTATATTATAATAGTTCTCTCTTCGAAATGTAGGTGGTGGAAGCTCGCAAAAGTTTCACTGTAAGCTGCCAATACTGATGCGCACTATTTTTTTTCCTTTGATTTGTTTTTCGTCGATCTTGTTTTCCGTGCTGAGCACCAATGCTACCCGATGCCAGAGAGGCTGCTCCTACACCTGGACCCTACCTATCGACCAATCTACTCATGAACCGGGGACCAACGGCTTACTTCCCTTCCGAAGGAAGGCGTGATCAGAGATGTTATGCCTCAGAGCATCCCGGTGGCGCCGACTGGGATTGAACCCAGGCCTGCTGGGATGAGAGGTAATCACGCTTACCACTACACCACCGGTGCCGCTAGCTGATGTGCACTATTCATTGAATGAGATCTACTCCAACATCAACACAACTTTGCGGATTTTCGTCACATTTACATTAACGGTCATCACTTGTGAGCGATGATTAAGCTAGGGATGAAATTGATAAAAAAAAAATACGCTATCGTGAATGCACCAGGAAACAGTTTTCCAATAGACCACCCTACATTGATCAATTCTCTTAAGTGACTTTCTACATCGATTTCCCTAGCATTTCCCTTTTGTTATCCGGTATGTCCTCGACCGCGCTGATTTATTGTTCAGTTGTCTTTTTTCACACGAGTGTAGTGATACCAAAAACACGTTCATCATGCAGTGTTTGAACTTGGCCTTTAGCTGTTCGGATTGAATGATCGGGATTGGTGATTAAAGTGCCAGGCAGGCAAAAATAAAAATGACATGGAAGAAAAATTGATCGTTTTTCATTATTGTGCGGTTAGAATCGGTTATAGGAAAATATAAGTGGAACCATAGATGCGGGACCATCATCTATGTACATGGAAAATGATTGTACTTTATGCAGAATGTATACAATCTACTATATGGGTTGTACGAGTTCTGGATCGTTTTCTGCTATTTCTGAATCAATTTAAGGGGAGGTTCATTTAGATTTTGTCGAAAAAATAAGGTAAGGTATATGCCGTAGGAAATTTTATATATTTTTATAATATATGACAGTTACTCATTTCAGTTTACAACGGAAGGCCCTACAATTGACAGCAGGGGACATTGTTTCATTGGCACACGCACGGGGACATTGGCGGCTTCAAAATGGCGGATCTCGTTGGCCTCTGTGCACGAAACAATGTCCCCTGCTGTCAATTGTAAACAAACTTTTTGTAGTCATCAATGTATAACGCATTAAAACTCAATAGCACAACTTTGTATGTCTTTTCGTTTTCCCACAAAAAATTCGTAAAGTTTGCACGATTTTCGGCCATATCCAAATGAACCTCCCCTTTAATTCATAATGTATGAATCCGCGTTATTAGACATCAATCATGGATAGATTTGGTGAGTTTGCTCCAGTTGACAAACAATCCTTTAATTGTTCATGATTTCCGTCTTTTACCGGATAACCTCGATCACACGTTCAATTGTTACGGTTAGGTACGTGTGATAAGTTTAACTTTTGCTCATAATTCGGAACTCCGGAAAGCGTAAAAAGAATTAAAATATATATATTTTTTTTATCCTATCGAAACCAAATGGTACAATTTTAATTCGTTGTTTTTGAATCCGCATCATTAGGCTTATAAGACACATTTGAAATTATATTATTTATTTTATCATTATTTATTCCCACTTGTTGCGCAATGTGCGATGAGTTAAGCGTTTGTTCATGTATAAACTTGATACTCTTTGAAAAAATATATACCACGATCGTGATCGAACATACAGGCTTAGCACGTGGCTAATTTTGTTGTCTTTTTGTTCATCTAATTTCCGTCCAACTAAGCACAACCTGCGCTTTATCTCTCTGTTTTGAACGGGTTTGATA